AAATATAAAATGGAAGCTTAATTGGCACATGAAATAAAAATACAAAGTTACCTTAATCATCCTAATATCTTAAAACTTTATGGAGTATTCTAAGAATAAACTAAAGTAATGGTACTTATTTGAAAATAGATTATATTAATACTTGAATATGCACCAGATGGAGAATTATATAAATTATTAAAAAAATAGCCAAATCGTAGATTCACTGAAAATAAAGCAGGAAATTATATTGCATAAATTGTAGAAGGCATTTCATATATGCATAAAATGAAAGTTATTCATAGAGATATAAAACCTGAAAATATTTTAATTAGTCTAGTATCTAAATTGTTATTCAATTTTTAGTAATTCTTAAAAATTGCAGATTTTGGTTTAGCAACTTATTCTCCTGAATCAAAACCAAGGTAATCCTTCTGTGGAACTATAGATTATATGTGTCCAGAAATAGCTTCAGGATAGGATTATGATCATTCTGTTGATTTATGGTCTATAGGAATTTTAGCATATGAATTAACTACTGGAACTACTCCATTTTATTAATCATCTAAAGAAGATACGATGAGAAAAATTATAGAAGGAAGAGTAGATTTTCCAAAATATGTATCAAATGAATTATAGGATTTTACTAAATGTTGTTTAAGAAAAGATCCATAATAAAGACTTAGATTAGAATAAATGGCTATACATAAATGGATATAAATGAATCATTAAGCAGGTGGTTAATATGATAGAATGTTAGTATAATCTTTGGTGACAATTTTGAAATGATTAATAAATATTAACATATAGTTCTTTAATATAATTTAATAAACATAATAAAACATTAAAATATCTACAATTAATTTATAATTTATCAATCATACTGAATTCACTTATTATATATATTTATGATATTTTGATTAATTTACCAGACTACTCTCAATATAATTATGTATTTTAATACTAATTATTTCTTAGTATTTAAACATTCAGATTGAATAACATAACATATTAACTAAATTAATAAAATTCAACTTTTATTAGAACGATTATTCATCCAGTTTAAGATTTGAGTTTACTATTTATTCATTATTTTATTTAAAACATTGTTATTGTTTCCAATAAATGATATCAGTAACTGGAATAAATTTAATTTTTATAATGTCGGTATTTGTATTATTTTATATCAGTAATTACAATATTGCTTATTTTCATCATTCAAAAAAACCTTTGATTATTTTAAAAGCAGATTATAAACTTTATAAGTATCCTTTCATTTAAACATCAAAGCTTACCCTTTAACTCTTTTGATCTACTCAAATTTTCTAGATTATTTGTTTATTAAGAACAAGTATTTACATACATAATTTGTTTGAGGTTAATCAGATACATTATCCATTTTATATAATCAAAATATTTTCTGAATGACATTTCAAAATAATGTTTTTATCTATTTAAATAATCATTAGGTATTTGAAGATCATTAGAATTCAATGTGATTCCTAGTCTTCTATTTTCTATCATTTCCTCTTTTGAATAAAGCAACTTATCATAATTATTCTCTTTGTAAAATAAGTGATTTTTATCTTTTCTCAGCTATAGTAATCTAATCCCAAATCTAGTTCAGTTAACTCAAATTCTAATTATTTTCCTACATTATTAGAAACAGATAGATTAATCATATTTTGATTTGTAATAATGACTTTTATTATTATGAAGGAAATTAGCTTATGCTCATATTATATAATTAAATTTAATATATATGGACTAAAGAATTGAGTTGATTATACATTTTATCCATAAGATTTTCCTAGTAGTCTAATGATAATATTAATTATTATATATAGATATATTTTTTGATTTTGATCTCGTAAAGATGCTCATCCAGCTTCTGTTTTAGAATTTGTTTGACCAATAGTCATCCACAATTCTTTTTAATTTATTTTTAATCAATTTAGTAATTCTGAATTTCTAGCTATTATTTCTCATATAATTTTATTCAATTTATTGTCTAAGAGTATCCCCATTGTTTTTTGTTGATCTAGTCTAAAGTTGGATTATTTATAGAAATATCAGTTTAATTTATGTAATTAGGTTATGATTATGAGTTAATCATATAAATTTAATAATTTTCATATTTCTATTTCTTTAACTTTTGGCTTCTTGTAAAAGCGTAGTTGAGCATTCGATTCAGGAGGATAAAATGGAGCTTATTTACCATAATTCTTTGGTAATGGTGCACCAATATTGTCATCTGGAATATATTATTGAACTCTTTGTTTAGCCATAGTCTTACAAGAAAATGGTTCAAACATTTTATCTTATTATTCTTTTTCTAATCTTTAACGTCTAACATTAAATAAATGATTAACCTATCTTCTAAATATCTTATTTAAGCTTTCTATTATCTTAAATATTCATCCTCATGTTCTGGTAAAGGTGGTAAACTTTTGTCTAATCTTTGTCTTGCTTCTTACACAACATTTTCTAATTCATCTTTTTCTTATTATAATTTAATTGCTGTTGCCTGATACATTGATAATTCTGCTATTGTAGCCATCATTTTCCTAGTTAAATCTTTTAATTTTGCTTAAAATTCATTCACTTTTTCTGATAATTCAAGTGTTGATAATCTTCCATCTAAAGCTTATTTTCTTAGTTTTTCTGATAAATTTGTAATTTCATCTAAAATTAATTCTTTTTCTAATAATTGTTCTTTTTTATTATTCAATCTTTCTTCCAAGACATGTATTTTTGCATCTAATGCTTCTTAATCTGGATCTTCACCACCCAATTCTCTGAATCTTTATTAATTATTTGGATTTTCAAGTTCTTCAGAAAGTTAAGATTCTTTTTTTTTTTCTAATTCTAATTCATCTTTTAATTAAATAACTTTTGATGATAATTAAGGTATTTATAAAATATCCTTTCTTGCTACATCTATTTTTCGTTTTTATTCTTATATTTCAATTTTTATCATTCTAATATCATCTTCCAATCTTTTTATTTCTAATTCTCCAGATTTTAAGATGTTATCTTAAATGTTACATTTTTCATACATTATACATAATTCATCATTTCTATCTATCAATACTATACCTGTATGATTTCTTGATTCACAAACTTATTCATATTATTTTCTTAAATTTAACATATCTTTTTCTAATGAAGATATGATCATATTTAATTTCTATATTTCATTAATATTTTAATCAATAATTTCTTTTTTAGCTTTCCTTTAATATTCTAATTTATTTAATTTTGCATGACTTCTATCTTTCTTATGTACTTCTACCTGTAAACAATGTCTATATTCTAATAATGTTCTTTCCTTTTCTTAAGACTCATTTTTTAAAATTTCTAATTCATTTTATAATATCTTAATTCTTTCTTTTAATTCTGCTAAATCTTATGAACTATTTTATATCATATTGACATATTTATTTCTTGCCTATTTGACTTCTTCATATAATGATTTATAATTATGTTCTTTAGCTTCTGTTTCTTATGCTTTTTTTTATAGATCCATAATTAATAATTCTTTAATTTTGAGTTCTTCTCTTGTTTCTCTTACTTCAGCTAATGCACTTGATGCTTTTCTAGCCATACTTTCTCTAGTTGCTGTTAAAGCTTTAACTCTCTTTAATCCTTCAGCTTCAAAATTTTGTAATTCAATCATTTATTTTTCAAATTTTTTAATTTCATTATCTACTTTAGTTTATTCCTATAATTTTTCTTCTGCTTTATCTTTTACTTTTCTAACTCTCCCTTCTAACATTGTATATTCTTCAGCAATATTTTCTCCAATTTCATTTTGTTTTTCAATTTCATATTTTAAATTCACAATCTCTTTTTTTATATTTTCTAATATCATCTTTTATTCATGTAAAGTATCATTAATTTATTGCATTTATGTTTATTATTTTTTTAATTCTTTTTTATCAAGATCAATTGCCTTTTTTAAAGAACTGACTGTATCTCTATGTCTTCTAATTTCTAATTAACCATTTCTAATTTCAATATCATTAGCCACTTTTTAACTACTTAAATCACTTATTTCTTCTTTTAATTTTGATGAAAGATCATTTTAAATAGCTTATTCTCTTTAATTCTTTTCTGTAATACTTTTTTCTTCATCTATTTATGTTTCATATTCTTATAATTTTAATTGTAATTTTTTTAGTTCCATATTTAAATCATCAATCTATTTATTTTTTTTTCCTATATCATCTTTGTATCCTTATAAATCCTTTAACATAATTTTATTAGCACTCTTTAACATTTCTGCATTCTTACTAAAACGATTTGGATCATCCTTTATTTTAATATATTCATCATTTAACTTACTTATTTTATTAAGTTTCTCATCATTCTCAATCTTTAATTATTCAATTTTTTCTATTTTTTCATCTATACTTTTTTATTCACTCTCTATTTTTTATTTATATTCTAATAATAAATCTCTTTCTCTTTCTATTTCAGCATCTTTTTAAAGCATTTCAGGTAATGCCTTACTCTTAGCCATTTTCTCTTATTCAGATATTCTAGTTAATATTATAGATTTTTCATGTTCTACTTCTTCACATTAAAATTATTTAGCATCAATCAATTATTCCATCATTTCATATTCTGCTTCTGTCTTTTTTAAACTTGCATTTAAATTTTATGCTTTTTCTTATGCATTAGCCTAAAATGTATTTTCGAACTTAATACTTAATCATTTAAAGCAGTTTCGAGATTTTATTTCTCAGTTGCTAATTGAGTTTTTAGTTTTTTTGATTTTTCCCATAAAAAGTGATGATTCTTAAAAGTTTAGACAACTGTATCATGTAGTTTATGAAACTTTTTTTTATATGAATCACATTGCTCTTAATTGATTTTTCCTTGTCTATGAAATATTATGGAAATTAAACTTAAAAAGATCAGTGAGCATACTAAGGGCAACATTACTCTATAAATCCCTTATTTCATCTGGTACTTCTGCCATTATTAACTTAAAATAAATATTAAATATATATATAATGAAAGCATCAAAATACTAAATTGAAAATAGAGATTATAATATCATCACCTGCGTAGATTTTAATAAATAACAATAATCCTTACCACCATTAAGAAAATTGGGTTAATCATAAGATCATCCTTTTCCAAGAAAAGCAAAATTCGAGTTAGCTTAAGAATAAGTATAAATGCAACAGACATAATCCTTCAAAGTTAACAATTCTCAATAAGAAATTAAGTAAGTATAACCAGGATCGATGATGAATGTACCATCAGTCAAATTTGATTTTATTTCTTTTACTCAGGGAAAATAATAACCATTTCATGATCTAAAGTAGGAATTGAAAATCTTACACAAGAAAAAAGTATCATTATGCATTGATAACAAAGGGTGGAATGGGTGAAATAGCTGATTTAGGTGGTTTGTGTTATCCAAACTTCAATAGGGAATATTAAGATAAATTTAAGGAAAATTAAACTATATTTAGAAAACAAAAAGGAGATTATCCTGCAGTAACAGATCCCAAATTCTCGTATGGACCTTTTATGAAACCTTTTAAAAAGTACAAGTTTTGATATTTCATTATATTATTTTTCATATTAATAAATTAAATGGAAACCTAAATTTTAAGATAATATTTAAGTTCAAATGAGACTTACTCAAAAACAGAAGAAATTAAACTCAAGATCTTATATTCTGATATGTGACATTTTCATTTTAAATTCTAGTTAGTTTATTAAATAAGTTTAAAACTCAATAACAACAATAATCAAAGATCCATTTGAAAGTCCAAACACAAAGCTAATGGCTTTAAAAGTATAACTCCATCAAAAATTAGCTAAATAAAGAGCTTGTGGAAACTTTCAATAACAATTATATTTATACCCTCTAAAAAACGTTATTGCCTGTACTTGAAGAAATAGCATAATATAAATATACATCAGATGATCCAGATAGAGGAGTCACTTATTTTTTAAATGGTGAAAGTCCAAATTAAGGTTTATATTATAATCAAAATAATGTTAGATAATAGAGATTTACAAATTACTGGAGAATAATTTGTAAGAGTTGTATTAGAATGTATAAGAATTTGGAGTAGATGGTTTCCTCTAGATTATCAATCATATTATTTAAGTTCTTTTAAGATTACCTATGAAAAGTTAGTAAAATTGGGAGTTAAATTTCCTAAGATCATTTATTTTGATAGTATTGAATAGAATATACCTAATTAATTAATACCATTATCAATGATTATTTAATTAAGAGAACTACTCAAAAATTAATTTAATATCTCAACTAAATAAATTAGAAATTATCTAGCTATGAATCCTGCTCATTTTTTTTATCAACATAAATATAATACTTTTGGAGATTTTTTTCATTAAATAAAAAATAAAAATCCTATTTAAAAGAAAAAGGTTTTAAGAAAGGCCACTTTTCTATTAGAGAAAGAATTTGAAAATCTGGAAACTTTGAAAAAGGATCCCTAATATAACCCTATTTCATAAGAGACTTTGTAGATTGAAAATCTTTGTTTACAAAATTTATATAATGCTTTTTCTATAAAAGTTCCAGATCTTCAAACTTAAGTTATCTAATTATAAAATAAAGTGGCTAGTTTAGAAAAACAACTTTTAGATAAAGAATAAAAAATAAATTAATTGTAAAATGAATTATAACAATTATAAAAATAGTTTTCTATCAATATTAATTAATTTTTAACTTCCAACAATTTATCAAATAGTGAATTATTTGAAACAGATGTAAATTAATTCTTATAATTAGATTACAAAATTAAAATTACATTATGGAATTTATGATTAAAGTTATGAAATAGAAAAATTAAAGTCTCTTATTTATAAGTCTGACTTTAAAATAGAAGAATTAACTGATGAATTAAATTAAATTATCAGAAAAAAGAATTAACTTTTTGAAGAAAATAAAACTCTAAATTAAACAATATTAGTTTTAGAAAGAAGACTTTTATAAAATACTAAGCAACCTTTAAAATCTCTATCAACATAACAATGTTTAAGTGAATATAGACAAAATACTATGACTAATATAAGCTAAACAGGTACAATTGTATAAAAAAAATAAAAGAGCTCAGAATTTTAAAACACTTTATTTTTATCATTAAGATAACAACTGTTGGGTTAATAATTGTATATTAAGACATTATAAAGCCAATTAATTAAGTTTGATAAATTTTTATTACACTCTGGTCATACTAATTCTATACTCTCTTATCATACTGCATCAACTTAATATAAAGGTAAAATTTATATCTAAATTTTTAGTCCCTATGTTCTCTCCATTATCTATTTCTTAACCTAAATCGAGAGGGTCAAAAGAAATCACTACTCCGTTTGTAGATTATGATGGCAAGATATTTTCTATTATTCCTGATGCCTTTACAGTCAAATTTAGATAATCATGCTTACTTAAAAAAACAATATTATACTCTGATGATAATCTTTAAATTGGAGTTCAAACTAATTTATAAACAAATTAATAGCTATTAATTAATTTAATCTTACACAATAGAACCTAGGAATAGATGTATAATTGTTGTATTGCATATTAAAAAACTAAGAATCTATCATTTTAGATTAATCCTCTTAATATTCAATAATCCATAAAAGGAAATGAATAAGTATCCTAAAAAGTATTTATTTAATTTGAATAAATTCCTTATTAATTATTAGAATTTTAAATAAAGTATACGAAATAATAATAAGAGTATAACCTAAATATTTGTCTTCCTTGCACAATAAATAAATTTTTCACTTTTTTAGATGTTCCATAAGAGACTCCAAAATCATATTTTTATAATAGTAAACTCTTTTAAACAAGCTTTTAAAATCAAATTGGATAATTACTTCCTGAATTCTAAATTAATTAAATTAATGAACAGTTTGTTGAAGCTTTAGCAAGAATATAAATTGAAAAATCAATATTTTTAATTTCAATCTTATCTAAAAATCATTAAATGTAAATTAAATTGAATGGAAATTATTAAGATAAGTTAGTGGAATTTATAGTATCAACATACTAAGGGTTGTTTATGAAGCGATGAAAAAAATTGAATATAATTATTAAAATTAGAGAATAATAATTATTAATGTAAGAGATCTAGATAGGACTAGTCTTATTTGTTTCATGTTTAGCCTTTTTCCTTTTAGGTTATTAATGGGCAATATCAAATTAGAAATCTTATTATGATAGTGTATTATTTTCAATATCGTTTTTAGCTTGGATCTGAAGATGATGAATGTAAAGTATAAGTTATTTTCTTTAGAAAAACTTGAATAATAATTGAATGAATATAAGTAAAAAGAGGAGCAATACATTAAATAAATTTAGGATCTAAAGAAATAATTAGGAATGAAAACTAATAGTAAGAATACAGATATTTGATTATTAATAAATTATTTATGAGACATGTGTAGAATAAATTTATAATAATTATTTTATCATTTTTCTATTTTAAAATAATATTATTCTTGTTATACATTTATTATTAGTTTCTTATTACTTTGTTTGATTATATTTGAGATTGAATTAAATTTCATTTATAAATAAATAAATAAATATGGCATAGGAATCTAATTATGGTGACGTAAATTAAGATATAAATCCTAGATTATACTTTTATGTGGAGATCTACATGTAGGTACAAGAATGTAGAAAATTCATGAAAAAATTGTTAATGTTTTAGGAGTAAATAAATTATAACATGTACTTTGTACAGGAAATGTTGGAAATAAAGAGACTTTTGATTGGCTTAAGTAAATTTCACCAAATTTTCATTGTGTTAGAGGATAATATGATGATGTATCTATCTTTTTTGATATAAGGAAAACAATGAAATTCATAATGATCAAAAAGTAATTTAAATAGGAATATGGAAAATTTTATTGATTCATGGACATTAATTTGTTCCTTGGAATGATGAAGAAACAATCAGTGTTTTCTTAAAAGAAAATTCATGTGATATTGCAGTGTTTGGAAACTCTCATTAATCATTAATAAGCAAATTTGAACGAAAATATTTTATAAATCCTGGAACAATGAGTGGAGCTTATGGATCAATTAAATAGTTAAATTATTATTTATCATTAGAGATGCAATAATTTAACCTGAATTTGTCATTCTAGAATGTTTAGGAGATGAAATGGGAGTTTATAAATATAAGTTAGTCAATGGAGAATTACTTATTGAAAAATGCACAATTACAAAATGAAAGAATATTTATATTTTAATTATTTATTTATAGTTATATTTTAGTCTAACTTTTATTGTTTTAACATTTCAAAATTCAATTGATATCAATATATATANATTTGTTTCATGTTTAGCCTTTTTCCTTTTAGGTTATTAATGGGCAATATCAAATTAGAAATCTTATTATGATAGTGTATTATTTTCAATATCGTTTTTAGCTTGGATCTGAAGATGATGAATGTAAAGTATAAGTTATTTTCTTTAGAAAAACTTGAATAATAATTGAATGAATATAAGTAAAAAGAGGAGCAATACATTAAATAAATTTAGGATCTAAAGAAATAATTAGGAATGAAAACTAATAGTAAGAATACAGATATTTGATTATTAATAAATTATTTATGAGACATGTGTAGAATAAATTTATAATAATTATTTTATCATTTTTCTATTTTAAAATAATATTATTCTTGTTATACATTTATTATTAGTTTCTTATTACTTTGTTTGATTATATTTGAGATTGAATTAAATTTCATTTATAAATAAATAAATAAATATGGCATAGGAATCTAATTATGGTGACGTAAATTAAGATATAAATCCTAGATTATACTTTTATGTGGAGATCTACATGTAGGTACAAGAATGTAGAAAATTCATGAAAAAATTGTTAATGTTTTAGGAGTAAATAAATTATAACATGTACTTTGTACAGGAAATGTTGGAAATAAAGAGACTTTTGATTGGCTTAAGTAAATTTCACCAAATTTTCATTGTGTTAGAGGATAATATGATGATGTATCTATCTTTTTTGATATAAGGAAAACAATGAAATTCATAATGATCAAAAAGTAATTTAAATAGGAATATGGAAAATTTTATTGATTCATGGACATTAATTTGTTCCTTGGAATGATGAAGAAACAATCAGTGTTTTCTTAAAAGAAAATTCATGTGATATTGCAGTGTTTGGAAACTCTCATTAATCATTAATAAGCAAATTTGAACGAAAATATTTTATAAATCCTGGAACAATGAGTGGAGCTTATGGATCAATTAAATAGTTAAATTATTATTTATCATTAGAGATGCAATAATTTAACCTGAATTTGTCATTCTAGAATGTTTAGGAGATGAAATGGGAGTTTATAAATATAAGTTAGTCAATGGAGAATTACTTATTGAAAAATGCACAATTACAAAATGAAAGAATATTTATATTTTAATTATTTATTTATAGTTATATTTTAGTCTAACTTTTATTGTTTTAACATTTCAAAATTCAATTGATATCAATATATATATAATAGAATGAAAATGATATTAAAAATTTATAAAATAAAAATTATAATTCAATTTATAATATTCATTTACAACTAAATACATAATACTATTGAAATCATTAATTTCTTTTTTTATTTTATAGATATATCAAAGAGATCTTTTGAATATTTATTATTTGAATAATAAGAAATATAAAATATTAAGCTATTATTAATTCTTCTTAAAATAATTGTATTATATTATTATATTTTTAATATATTTATGAAATAAAGTGAGCAAGTTCTTCTTGCATCCTAATAGCCTGGGTTGATAGATACATCAACTAAAAGATTAATATCCAAATCCTCTTCTTAATTTTAAATGCCTTCTTTTTAATAATAACCTGTTGTTACTAGACGCATACATAGGAAATTAGTTCCAATGGATGGTGGTATAAAATAAACAATAATATTTAGAGGCTGAGGAAACTGTTGTACAACCTATTCAACCACCTCCATAACCAATTGTTCATCCTGTACAATAAATGATTTGGCCAGTTGCAGTTTAATTTAATGAAGATGATGCATTAGCAAAAATTAGAGAAGAAAAAATGTTGGCACTTCTTGAGAGATAGTCTGAGATGCTTACAAATCTACTTTAGAAGTATAAAAGATTAGAAGAAGATTAAACTAATAAAATATAAAGAAGAATAAAAGAACTGGAAAGAGAAAATGAAGAAATATGGTAAAGGAGAAGATAAAATTATTTAATTTACAATGTTTCATAATCTGTTGATTAAAAATTAAAGGAGTTTAATGAATTTTAAATGAGACCATTTTTAGACTAAGGTTAACCTGTGCTTTTAAAACCAATTCATTAGGATGATCGATTATTTTTTGATAAGAAAAAGAAGAAACCAAAGCCTAAAAAGATAGTTGAAGTTGATGATGGATTGGTCCAAGATCCAGATACAGGAGAATTATGGGATCCAAAAACTGGAGAAGTTGTACAACAACCCCCTTCTTTGTAATAACCATATTGATTATAATTAATTGTTATTTTAATACTCATTTTCACTTCTTATAAGAATATTAATAGGATAAATTAAAAAATATCACCTATTACTATTAATTCAATAGTATAACATTTATCTAATTGATTATTTTTTGTATTAATCATGATAATGATTACATAATTTAAAAGTATTTATTAAGAATCTTATATATACATTATTTATATAACATAAACTTAATCATAATAAAACATTTAAATTAGACATAGATATTGATACAATTTATGGTTTAAAATGAATACTTTATAACTAAATAATTAAATATTTTAAATATATTATGTATAAATTTAATACCTATATAGTTGTATTTAGAGTTTGAATATTATAAGTAAGATTATTATAAGAAAGTTGGTAAATTAATAATTGTTGTAAGTACTTTTATATATATAAAATTATAAAAATAGTTATTGAGCATTTAAATTAAAATAACAGAAATCCTAATCATATAATTTAATATATAAATATTTTATTAATTATATGTGTCTAATATAACCTCTTATTTAATAATTTTATGGATCTATGATTGAGAATTCTTTTTCAATGAACTAAGATCTACTGATTTGAAGTAAATAATATGATCTGTTTCATTAGTTGTTTATTAACTATGCAAAATCAAGTTTTTGGTTGATTATATAAAATTTTGATATGAATAAACTTAACTTATATAATGTTGAAGTAATGTGTTTTATTCAATTTGTTGAATTATTCAGCTTTGTCATTAATAGCATGTTAAGAAATAGATAAAATTATAATTATAAAGTAATGTAAAGATAGTTATCAAAATAATTCAGGAAATAGAGTCACTATCTGAAGAGACTTCTGCTATTATGTCATCATATATATATTTTTCTGTTTCATCAGTAATAACACGCATTTATTTGTTTTTCAAATATTTAGGTTTTCTTTGTCTAATAGATTTGATATATAATTTGATTTCAGCAGTAATTTTCTCAGACTTTTCATTTTCTTCTGATTTATAAATAGTATCAAGGTTTTGTACAAACTTTGAATCATGATTAATTATTATATCTAAAAATAAATGATGAATTGAGACTTTTTAAATTTTCCTTTTCATTGGTAGTGATAATCTAATTGGCAGACATCTATTGGACTATCTTAAACACGTCATAGTAAAATTATTATTACAACATTTTATAATAAAAACAATCATTTATATTAAATACTTATTGATCTAAACTTTTGAACATTTAAATCAGAAATCTTCTCATTAGTAAAAGATTGAACATCAAAAACTAACTAATAAAATTATACTATCTTGAAATAATTTGATTTCTCTTAAAAAAGTGACATTGAAGTATTACCGTAATTAGATAATTCTTATTAGATTTCTCTAGATGGTTATTCTTTGATAAAAGTATTATTTATAAACTTTTAATAGAGTATTCACTCAGGTTCCTATTTCTAAAATAGAGAAATTTGATTTATTGTTACTCATATAATTAATTTAAGTAGATTTCTTATGGATTCATATTCATTACTTTTGATAGCAACTATTTTAGTAATTTGAATCATAAATACATAAAATCATATATTGAAGTATTAAATCTTAATTACATAGATAATCCTACTGTTCTAACTTATATTTATTGATAAGATATGATACTAGTTTTACTATATTGATATTCTTCATCTTACATTTCATAAAATACAATTATATAATTCTAAATCTTTTGTTTTTTGATCCATCTCAAATCATAATTTTTTTTAGCTATTTATTTGATATAATATTCTTCAATACATATAATATTGGTATCTATATTGATTTGCAGTAGTTCTAATATTTACTTAGATAAGTTTTAAACAATACTATTCTATATTTTTCTTGCTTATTACT